CTTATTCCTCGGTCTACATATGTATACAATAGTTACACCTTATTCCTCGGTCTACATATGTATACAGTTGGCCAAAAAATTTATTTGTAAGGCAACATTAATAGAAAATTGAGTTGTGTGGTTAGGTTAGGTTGGCAGCCCAAACACTTGTTGTTGGCGACACTGATGTAATTTCCGCCCAGAAAACATTTATACGGTCATTTGTCAGCGGGGGACGGCATTAATTGATCTTTCGTACCTCATTTTGCTAATTATCTTTTTGTTCGGCAATTAGTGTCACATATTTCAGCTGATAGTTCTACGCTAATGAGTTTTCTGGTAATGACAAGAGCTATTATAAGACCGTAAATCCCTTCTCTTTGTGATGGCATATACGACCACACGAATACATTATGGTTGTTTGACCGTTTATACATATCACTCACAATATTTTAAGAATGTCATAAATACTAGGTTTGGTTTGGTTAGGTTAGGTTAGGTTAGGTTAGGTTAGGTTAGGTTAGGTTAGGTTAGGTTAGGTTTATAATTCGTCTCTTCTTTGTTCGTTTGTAAATTCTTAGTTGCCGACCGATGATGATTGAAACTTTCCTTTTTTTTTTATCAAACTGTATACATGTTCTAGCAGACACCAGAGAAGGAATTGACAAGCGGGCGTATTGTTTTGTGGGTTTTTAAAAGGTCAAAGAGATTAAAGATACACCTGCGGCCACTGTTCTGTCATGTCTTGGTAGCTGTTTTTTGAAGAATGTTGAATCCGTTCATTTGGGGTATTTTTTAACTCCTTGAGAACGGTAATTTAACTCTTTATGAACTTGTTGACGATAACATAACCCCTTGTAGACGATAACTCCTTGTAGACGATAACTCCTTGTAGACGATAACTCCTTGTAGACGGTAACCTAACCCCTTGTGCACGATAACATGGCCCCTTGGACGATAACATAACCACTTGTTGACGATAACCCCTTGTAGACGATAACTTAACTCCTGGTAGACGATAACATAACCCATTGTAGACGATAACTTAACCCCTTGTTGACAATAACATAACCCCTCGTAGCCGATAACATAACCCCTTGTAGACGATAACATAACCCATTGTAGACGATAACTTAACCCCATTGTAGACGATAACTTAACCCCTTGTTGACGATAACATAACCCCTTGTGGACGATAAAATAATAACATAACCCCTTGTAGACGATAACATAACCCCTTGTGACGATAACATAACCCTTGTAGACGATAACTTACCCCTTGTTGAAGATAACCCCTTGTAGACGATAACATAACGCCTTGTTGACGATAACGTAACCCCTTGTTGACAATAACTGAACCCCGTCTGGATACTGCCACTCTTGATCTTATTTCGTATATACACCTCGCGTAAGCTTCCCTTCTCTCACACACTAATCTCACTCCAGGAAGTTTGCAGTAAACTTTTGTCATCTTGAGTCTCACCAACGCTCTTCTAAACTTCATCACCCCAGCTTTAGCTTTCCTATTCTCCCTCCCTTTCTTCTTCCCTCTCTCATACCTCTCCCTCATTTTCTCACACCTCTCCTCCCTCCTTCTCTCTCTACTTTCCTCACACCTCTCCCTCCCTCATTTTTCACCAACTAAAATATATACAACTTGAGTCAAAGTATGTTTCTACCCCTCGCTGCTTCTTTTGTTTCTCGCCCCCTTTGTAAAATCATTGTGTTCCTCGTTTCATCTTGCCGTTCCTCGTAAACCACTCCCTTGTGTTTTCCTTCTCGCCTTCTGCTGCCACTACATCCTGCACCTCCTTCTCCCACACGTCACTCACGCCCTCCTATAACTGTCTTGCCTGAACTGACCAAGAGAGAAAAACTACTTCCTTCCTTCCTTCAACTTTACACCTTCCAAAATATTCCTCAAAATTTTAACTTTACTGTATATTTCTTACATATTTCGTAGCCTTGAGAAATAAGGGTTAAGAGAATATAACAAAGGCATTAACAGCTTTTTAGTTTAGAAGTTATGACTCCATTTATCTTCACTTTGCAACGGGTAATGTATTAAATGTCTTGGTACTCAGGTCGCGTCATTGTAACACTAGCTCAGAGGATGGTAAACTGTCGGCGGGGAAGAGAGACGAACACCAGCCTTGTTTACACTGTGCGTCAGACCTATCCTAACCTAACCTAACCTAACCTAACCTAACCTTCACACTTCTTGTTTTTTTTCGTATTGTCAGTGTCTTTGTGTTTTTTGGGGTTTGTTGTTGGTCTTAATGTTATTGAAAACAGTAATAAACTCGACAAATTTCTTGCTTTCATTGACTCTGTGATGACTGATTTATTTACATTCATGTTAATTTTTTTTGTGGTTTATGTGAATACTTGTTAACCAGTAATAATACACACACACACACACACACACACACACACACACACACACATACACATAGGATGATAATATGCCGCCATGCTAATTCCACGTCGAGGTAAAATTTATGTTGTCTTGCGCACACCGTCTGAGTCTCGCCCCGCCAGAGGTGCCACTACCAGCTCCTTGATATACGACCCAGGTGATATTTTTCTCTTACCCGATAACTGCGCCACTTGTTGAGTCCTTCAGCGTCCCGGATACAAGGTGTCGAAATGAAACAGAATTTTGACTCGTATACCTTCTCACTTTCCCAGCCAGTGCGGTACCTGATATTATTATTATTATTATTATTATTATTATTATTATTATTATTATTATTATTATTATTATTATTATTATTATTATTATTATTATTATTATTATTGTTATTATTATTATTGTTATACCTGTTCTAAGCAAAAACAATAAATATGACTAAGTATACACTCGGTATAGTCATAATATTATAACATTTAGACATACTTAAGAATATGTTCAGGGTCAGGGAACATTATACTGTACCGGCTTATAGGGTGAGATCAAGTGGTGCCTGAGTGTGTATAAACTCCCTGGGACATTCAAGAGAAGAGAGGTCTATAGCAATTACCCTGTCTGTCCGTCTGTCAGCAAATTGTTTTAACCAGCTTGACTCGACAATCAGTAAATAGTTTCGTCAAATATGTTTTGTTTACGCTTTGAGCTGTGAGCTTTGACCTTTATAAAAGTTCAGTATTGTATAAATATTTAAAACAAAAATTATGTGCTGTTACCTGAGTGGCATTTTTGATGTCGTGCCTCGAAAAAAACATTATTTATTCCACACTGTTTTGTGATAGTTGGTAGACCATTATATTATTTTGTTATCAGTTGGTGTACGAGAGACAAACCCTTAGAGGATTGGTAAAAACAGCCCGAGAATGTTTTTAGTGTGGAGGACTGTGGTCGCCAACCCTCAGATATGTGGACGATACTCTGGTACTAGATCTATATATATGTGTGGAAGATCAACTCCTACGTTATCATACGAGAAAGGTTAAAGTAAATAATATGTTGAGACAGCAGGTGAGTATCGTGTGTGAGGGCGTCCTGCTGACTGACTAACTGTGGGAGACGTGACTCTGTCGAGCCATTAACGTGAAGCGTAGCATAACAGAGCCAGTTTAACAGGAAATACCTGTCAATCAAGATAACAGTCGAGGGCATTTATATCACCCCAGGTTATAGACTGTGTGTTGAGGGAGGCTGATAGAATAGTTATCCAGGAGATTAATTTACCATCACTCTTGAATAATGAAGAGAAACGAACACTCACATCTGTATGAGGACCAAAGCCGGATTTGTTTATTGGCAATTGTTCTTTGTCATTGATTGGCCAGATATGTAAAGCTAGGGTTTAGTGTCAGTCTAGGCCAAGCTGAGGGAGTATGAGTTGGGAGGGAGGTGAGGAGAGATGACATCAAACGCCGCTGATCGGTTGTAATACGAGGGAGGTAAAGATGGTGTTGGTGCAGTGGGAGGTGAAGGTGGTGGTGGCGGCAGAGATTATACACAGGTGTTGGGAGAGACAGGGATCCACCAAACCTCCTCCTTTTCACCCCTGTGTCTCAGTGTGTCCACTTATTAAATCTTCTTCGTTGTCCTTATAAGCAGAAGCTTTTTCGACCCTTATTAAAAAAGTTTTTTTAAAACGTCGACGGCGACCGATTAAAAAAGTTTCCCTCATTTTCGTAAGATGAGAATTCTTAAAAGTGTTACATATGATTTTCCAGCCAGTGTGTTGCTCCTTGTTATTAGTTATCAACACTGATAACTTTATACTGTACTGTTACCTATAATACAATTCCTTTTCTGTGTAATCCTATGTTCGGGAAAACAAGTATAAGTGAAAAGGTGTCGCAATTATGCGTACCAGCCCTAACAAGACGGCAGGAGAGGCAGTGTTGAGTTTGAAAGCCATTGAACTAAGTGGTAGAAGTAATTTATGGTCTTAAGTGTATACAACTATTGTCCTTCTGTCCTTCCTCCCTCCTCATGACTTGTGCTTCCTCCCTCCTCATGACTTGTGCTTCCTCCCTCCTCATGACTTGTGCTTCCTCCCTCCTCATGACTTGTGCTTCCTCCCTCCTCATGACTTGGGCTTCCTCCCTCCTCATGACTTGTGCTTCCTCCCTCCTCGTGACTTGTGCTTCCTCCTCCCCGTGACTTGCCTCCTCCTGACTTGTCCTCCTCCTCCTCGTGTCCTTGACTTGTGCTTCCTCCTCCTCGTGACTTGTGCTTCCTCCCTTGTGACTTTCCTCCCTCCTCGTGACTTGTGCTTCTTCCTCCTGATTACTTGTGCTTCCTCCCTCCTGATTACTTGTGCTTCCTCCCTCCTCATGACTTGTGCTTCTCCCTCCTCGTGACTTGTGCTTCCTCCCTCCTCGTGACTTGTGCTTCCTCCCTCCTCGTGACTTGTGCTTCCTCCCTCCTCGTGACTTGTGCTTCCTCCCTCCTCATGACTTGTGCTTCCTCCCTCACTCTATCATCAGCTCACCAAATAAACATTATGTATATACTTTTACATTATGCATTGGAACCATAATAAGGTGCCACACTCTCCTCTCAGGGTCACCACGACTTCATCATGAGGGAACGTGACGCTCAGCAGGCCATGGAACAGGAGAAGATGGAACTGGAGTGGCAGACGAGGATGGCAGAGATTGAAAACAGGTGAGTCTTGGTTAGGTTAGGTTAGGTGTCATCTCATTTAATTGTACAAAATACTAAAGACAGTCTTGATTATTTCCACCTCTCAGTTGCCAGACACAAGTACTCAGACAATTTCAAGAGATGCCAGGGGTAACTTGTGTGATTGCTTCCTTTTGGCCAAACAGGATTTAATTTCGTCTCTTCCTCTAGCTTTGTCCACACGTTATTCAGGTTCCTTATCCCTTTTTACAGTGGCCAGTGCGGGAGGAACTTGTTACTTGGTCATCTCCTCACTTGGTCATCTCCTCACTTGTTTTTCTCCTCACTTGGTCATCTCCTCACTTGGTCATCTCCTCACTTGGTCATCTCCTCACTTGGTCATCTCCTCACTTTTATAAACTTCACATTTGAGTTTTTTATATATAATTTTTTTCATTAACTCTAACGTTACCATCGTAAATTTACTAATTAGTTCTCTGAGAGATTCTGACAGGCAGAGTGAAACTTGTTGGAAACATTTCCAAGTTTAGATTAGATGAGGTTAGTTGAACTGCATTTTGTTACGGTTTATTTTACGGTAGATATTATTTGGGAGGTTCTCATGTATACATTGTCTGCTGATAATTTTGCTGCTAGTGAGTGTGTCTTAGCTTAACAGGCAGCTAAGAGATACATTTCCCATTTTTTCTTTGGATATTTTTTAAAGATTTATCTAACCATTCCCGTTAGTCCTTCTCGTAGTTGAGTTAATCATGTATCAAGTCTAAAGTTTTTGCCGAATAATGAAACTCTAAACTTAGACAAACACTGCATCTTCTTTTATGAAAAAATAATAAAATTAATAAAACAACATAATTTTTGTCATCAGATGCAAAATAATAATATAAAATTTTGTCACTGTATTAGATTTGTTTATTTTTCATAGGTTTAATGATTGGTCAATTTTTATAAAGGGGGAAGTCAAACAAATGAAGGGAGACACACACACACATGCAGCATTATTTTTCTCCGTCTCCTTCACTCTTACTGTAAAGAATGCAATAGCTGGGACCAACAGAGGGGGAGGCTATGAGGTACATGTGTAATTTCACGGCACTACTTTATGCTTGGGGAGTTTCCAGGAGAGAGAGAGAGAGAGAGAGAGAGAGAGAGAGAGAGAGAGAGAGAGAGAGAGAGAGAGAGAGAGAGAGAGAGAGAGATAAAAGCCTGTATGTGTTCCCCCTTCTTCGTTTTGTTGGGGTTTATTGACAGTGGAAGCATGGTAGAAGGGAGGTGTTCTGGCTACAATCACACACACACACACACACTGTAGCATCACCCAAGTGTTTTGGTAGTGCTGGGAGAATATTGTTACCAACGATATTGTCAAGGGGTGTTACTGTGTCACATGAAAGTGGAATACCTGACCTTTGCTACCACACCACCGCTGGGGTCACCATCTCTCACTGTTAGGAATGTGAATTTGACCTACGAACTTTTACTGGAGTGTGTGTGTGTGTGTGTGTGTGTGTGTGTGTGTGTGTGTGTGTGTGTGTGTGTGTGTGTGTGTGTGTGTGTGTGTGTGTGTGTGTGTGTGCCCTTTATTATTATTATGTGACTTGATTCTTAGGATCTCCCTGGCAAACATTACTCATTTTATCCCCCCACCCCAAACTCTCTCTGTCTGTCTGTCTGTCTGTCTGTCTGTCTGTCTGTCTTGTAAGAGTGACCAGACCCCGTGTGTGTGATTAGGTGCAGGGTTACACGTGTCTTAGAGATTGGCTGTGTTTTATTATCAAGATCATTTTGACACCGAAGCCAGCCTTATTGACCTTCAGGGAGTCGTTTTAGGAAAATTTTTAGCGTTTTATCTTGATACCCTGGTGGACCACAACCTTCAGACACGGCCCTTCAGGGTCATCTGTGCCGATTATCAGGTTTTTGTCCACAGATGCGGTAAATATGAAGATTTTCCCCTGACTAATGTAACCTGTTGAAATATACACAAGATCATGGTATCGATCTCAGACACGTTGGACAGGTACTGGATCCTGACTCCCCTACAGGTACGAGGATTGTGTTCAGAACCTTCACCTCGTTGACGGACACTGACCTCTGACCCCTCGCTCTTGACCCCCACCTTTGACCCCCATGAGGTAGTGATCTTTGGTCCTCGCCAGGTTTTAACTTTTGACCTCCACTCCACTAGGTACTGATCGTTTATCCCTCGTCAGGTTAAAGAGGCATATAATGACCTTTGACCCATCGGCAGGTACAAGGGTCAGGTGCGGAGGGCGACGGATGACCTAGAGGTAATGAAAGCGGAGTGTGAGATCCTGAGGCGGCGGATGACGGAATCTGGCGACGGTGAACTGGCCTTACGAGACCAGATGATGGCCATGGAGAGGGACCACGACCGACAGAGACGAGAGTGGGAGGTGAGTGGGGAGTGGCCAGGGGTAGGAACTTGGAGTGTGGGAGGAGTGGCCAGGGGTAGGAACTTGGAGTGTGAAGGAGTGGCCAGGGGTAGGAACTTGGAGTGTGAAGGAGTGGCCAGGGGTAGGAACTTGGAGTGTGAAGGAGTGGCCAGGGGTAGGAACTTGGAGTGTGGCCAGGGGTAGGAACTTGGCTAGTAGGAACTTGATGTGTGGAGGAGTGGCCAGGGGTAGGAACTTGGAGTGGGGGGGAGTGGCCAGGGGTAGAACTTGGAGGGGGGAGGCCAGGGGTAGGAACTTGGAGTGTGGGGAGGGCCAGGGGTAGGAACTTGGAGTGTGGGGGAGTGGCAGGGGTAGGAACTTGATGTGGAGGAGTGGCCAGGGGTAGGAACTTGGAGTGTGGGGGGAGTGGCCAGGGGTAGGAACTTGATGTGTGGAGGATGTCACTTGAGTCAGACAGGATGTCACTTGACTCAAATAAGGATGTCAATTGAGTCAGGGGTTCACTTACAGGATTTTTTTGGTGTTAAAAGTGGTGGCAGTTGTTTACAAGGCGGAGTTATAGAATGTCATAATTGTTTTTTGTTGTTTGGGTAGTTCAGGAAAATGGTGTTTAATGGTGTTTTAATTGTGACCTGATAATTATAAGTTAGCGTTCATTATATATAAAAATTATAATAAACTCACAATTGTTAAGCATTTTGGTTTTATATATTAAATTAATCATTACTGATATAAGTTTAATCAACTATTAGGCTTCAGTATATTATTTAAATTGCAACCAATCATAGAAGAAATTTCAAACATTACTAAAGAAATTTAACTTCTGTTACAAATAAATTTCATTAAAACTTGGAAAATTCTTTTGATAATTTTGTTATTATTTACATTTTGGTTTTCATTTATTTGTTTATTGTATTTTCCCATTGATATTGTGATCGAATAAATGTTTTATCTTGTACTAAACAGACATACGAAATTATTAGTGTTTATAGAGAGTAAAATGTCACTGTAACACACGTTGTTACCATAGTTTAGTGCACACGAGGTTAGTCACCATAGTTCAGTGCACACGAGGTTAGTCACCATAGCTCAGTGCACACGAGGTTAGTCACCATAGTTCAGTGCACACGAGGTTACAGTCACCACAGTTCAGTGCACACGAGGTTACAGTCACCATAGTTTAGTGCACACGAGGTTAGTCACCATAGTTCAGTGCACACGAGGTTACAGTCACCATAGTTCAATGCACACGAGGTTACAGTCACCACAGTTCAGTGCACTCGAGGTTATAGTCACCATAGCTCAGTGCACACGAGGTTTCAGTCACCATAATTCAGTGCACACGAGGTTACAGTCACCATAGCTCAGTGCACGCGAGGTTAGTCTTCCCACACTCGCTGTTTCTTCCATAACCTGAAGGAGTGATCAGCTGTTGGCAAGAATAAGATGCCTCAGGGGGTGTTTTTCCCAAAGGCTCCCGAGTCTTTGATGGTGACTTTCTCTTATCCTCAGTCACCAGAAGTGGGTTAGGTTAGGTTAGGTAGGATAGGATATTACATCCCAGCATCTTTGTCTCAAGTACGGAGTCTGCCAAGTAGGATTCTCTCCTCCCGTCGGCGTGAAACGCAGGAAAAATATTTTGGACTTCTCGGGGCTTTGAGATGTTGCTATGTCACCCACTTCATTGTATCTCAAGTCGTTTCAAGAACTCTGTTATATGTGGCAGTTGACAGATCATGGCAACGTTTAGACCTGCATTGCTCTCTTTATACGTGCGTGGGAATAGGTTGGTCATGTCACGTATGTAAATATTATTACAGTGTCCTTGACTTGATGTAGCCTCCATATCCTATCAGTGTGTTGTGATAGATTGCTCGGGTAAAATACTGACACAGTTCTAAGTGTCCCGGCCTGTGGAAGTACTGATGGGGGTCTGGCTCTCATGGCAAAACAACTCGTCTCCCTCACACCCATGAACCTGACACGACATACACAGTTCTTCTTTGGTAAATTAATGTGTTGGCTCTCCTCTCCTAAGTCTACGTGATGGGCAACCAGATCATGTAAATTAATCCCTCTTTTTGTGGGACCAATGTGAGTCTATCCTGTTAGATACTTTGTTTATACTTGGTTTCTGCGTGTGTCTTATGTGTTAAGGTGTCTCCTGGGTCAATATGGTGATGGTAAGGTTCTGTTGTGGAATATTGAGTTTGTTTGCATTTTACCTCGGACCAGATAGTGCAATTCTCTCAGACGTCGAAGTAGTGAGGTGGGAAATTGCGAATGTTATTGGATTTCGCCGTCAGACACCGTTGTCGGGAGGGAGGAGGTGCTGGGGAAGGAGGTGCTGGGTTGGGGGGGGGGGTGCTGGAGGGAAGGAGATAAGTTGTGGAGTAGAGTGAAAGTTTAAATGAAAGTTGTAATCGTGAAGGGCCAGTTGAGGGAATCCCCCAAGTTCACACGTTTTCATCACTTACTTGTGTAGGTCGTGTGTGCGTGCGGGTGTACATATCCACACCTTGATAACATCCACCAAGCATTATAACGGCAAAAAGCTTACACTTATAAGCTTACACTTAAAAACTGTGACCATTATAATTATTAAAATGAAGGTATAATATCTATCCTGTTAATTTACCTTATTTGTTTCACCTGAAGAAGACAATAATGACGAATCACGTTATGAATATTGTCTATATGAACTGAAACTATTACATGATTTAAGGGAGTGTACTCGCCTTCTGACCTATGAGTCGGTGGTTCGAACCCTGAATTCACTCTAATTATAAATGGGTTCTTAACAGATTATGCAAGTGAAGGCGGTAAATTTCAGTGCCGGCCTTGTTGCTGTCTCCTTGTGTACCAAAGGCTTAGTAAACAAGTGTACTCTATCCACGTCCTCCGCCAGGCATATGGGACCACACTTTCACCTTTATACCTAACCTAACCTGACCTAACCTAACCTAACCTAACCTAACCTAACCTAACCTAACCTAACCTGACTGAACCTATTCGTATTACCTGAAGCGTTTGGTGACGTCGCCTATTATACCTGAAGCGTTTGATGACGTCGCCTATTTTACCTGAAGCATTTGATGACGTTGCCTATTATAAATGAAGCGTTTGATGACGTCGCCTATTTTACCTGAAGCTGAAGCGTTTGATGACGTCGCCTATTATACCTGAAGCGTTTGATGACGTCGCCTATTTTACCTGAAGCATTTGATGACGTTGCCTATTATACCTGAAGCGTTTGATGACGTCGCCTATTTTACCTGAAGCATTTGATGACGTCGCCTATTATACCTGAAGCATTTGATGACGTTGCCTATTATACCTGAAGCATTTGATGACGTTACCTGATTTACTTGTATGTGTTTCAGCTGAAGCTCCAGCTGAAAGAGCAAGAGGCGCAGGAGGAGGGCCGCCGGTACAGCCAGGAGAGACGGGAGTATGAAGTGAGGATCAGAAACTTGCATGAGGAGAAGAGGATCTGTGAGGAGGACTGGGAGGAGAGACTAAGGTGAGGAGGGTGAAGGGTGAGGATGAGGGTGAGGATGAGGGTGAGGAAGGAGAAGAGAGGGGTGAAGGTGATGAGGGTGACGAAGGAGAAGAGAGAGGTGAGGAAGATTAGGAATAGGGTGGGGAAAATAAGGATGAGGGTGAGGAAGGAAGAGGATGAGGAAGGATGAGAATGAAGGTGAGGAGGATCAGGAGGGTGATATTGGGTGTGAGGATGAGAAAGATGAGGGTGAAGGAAGCGAGTACAGTATCAGGGAAGTATATTGAAGATTAGGTAAATAACTGAGAAACGAATGATGAAAATAAGAAGTGTTTCCTGGAGGTGTTGTTTATGTCTGTCTGTCTGTCTGTCTGTCTGTCTGTCTGTCTGGTCTGTCTGTGTCTGTCTGTCTGTGTCTGTGTCTGTGTCTGGTCTGTCTGTGTCTGGTCTGTCTGTGTCTGTCTGTGTCTGGTCTGTCTGTGTCTGTCTGTCTGTCTCGTGTCTGTTGTCTGTCTGTGTCTGTTTGCCTGCCTGTCTCGTGTCTATTCTATCTGTCTGTCTCTGTCTTTCTTTAGGCCTCGTTTTATCATCTTTGTTTACTTATTTTCTGTCTATTTAGATTTATCAGACAAACAGATGCAACAAACAACCTTAAAAGCAAACAAATGCAAACAACATTTTCCTCATCTCCTCCAGCCAGTCTCCCACGGCGCTAACATTTTCATAAAGAATTTCATCTTTTTTTTTTGTGTGTTGGAGAAATGGCGCCACGGGTGGTGAAAAATGTTATATATTTGACTGTGTTGTGGAGGAGACACGTCAAGCCCTTTGAGGAGCACCACTCGGAGACCCTAAACTTGAGAGTGAGAGGTGGAGGGCTAGTTGGTGTGGAGTGTGGGAAGTGGAAGGCTAGTTGGTGTGGAGTGTGGGAGGTGGAGGGCTAGTTGGTGTGGAGAGTGGAGGGCTAGTTGGTGTGGAGTGTGGGAAGTGGAAGGCTAGTTGGTGTGGAGTGTGGGAGGTGGAGGGCTAGTTGGTGTGGAGTGTGGGAGGTGGAGTGTGGGAGGTGGAGGGCTAGTTGGTGTGGAGTGTGGGAGTTGGAGGGCTAGTTGGTGTGGAGTGTGGGAAGTGGAAGGCTAGTTGGTGTGGAGTGTGGGAGGTGGAGGGCTAGTTGGTGTGGAGTGTGGGAGGTGGAGGGCTAGTTGGTGTGGAGTGTGGGAGGTGGAGGGCTAGTTGGTGTGGAGTGTGGGAGGTGGAGGGCTAGTTGGTGTGGAGTGTGGGAGGTGGAGGGCTAGTTGGTGTGGAGTGTGGGAGTTGGAGGGCTAGTTGGTGTGGAGTGTGGGAGGTGGAGGGCTAGTTGGTGTGGAGTGTGGGAGGTGGAGGGCTGGTTGCTGTGGAGGGACGGCGTGTGGGAGGTGGAGATGATGTGAGGTGTGGAGGAGTGAGTGTGGGAGGTGGAAGACGTATGTAGTGTGGAGGTATAGAGTGGGAGATGGTGGAGCTATGTGGTGTGGATTAATTGAAACCGAAAATGAAACCATTTATTTAGCCAGACAGAAATACAACAATAGCGCCATGGTTGCACCTAGCGAGCACCGAGGCACTCTTGCTGTCACCTGACAAATACTGTATATTTATCTCCTGGAAATTGTTTTATAACATGTTGCATCATCTGGATCACAACATATTATAAGACTGTTCTTAAATATATGTTACCTTCTTTTTCATATAATTTGGGGTATTTTTATATATATACACACAGGTACTTTGTATGATAATTTTTTTTCCAAGTAGGTCATTATTTGCATAATTCTCTTCTGGGCAGTGACCAAGGGTTGTGTTTTAGTGGTGCTGGAGCCTCCCTCTCCACAGTGTATGACAGTGAATCAAGTTTTGGCTAAAAAGGTCATTGTAGATTCCTTTCACTGCTGCATGATTGAATGACTGACGAGTGTAATACAGGATACTACACTGTTTATTGGTTTAACTGTGATTGGCTTGTATGTGGTTTATCCAGTTTAGTTTATCATCATTATTAACTGTAAGGAATTTGTACTCTCAACACGTTTGGTGATTGTATTGCTAATGTACAGTGGGTAAGTGTGGGAGATGGTGGGGCGATGTGGTGTGGGAGGAGGGAGTAACTGTGGATGAGGTGACCAGGGTAACAGTAGGTGGACGAGGAGGTGACCAGGGTAACAGTAGGTGGACGAGGAGGTGGTCAAAGGTAACACTAGGTGGGCGAGGAGGTGACCAGGGTAACAGTAGGTGGACGAGGAGGTGACCAGGGTAACAGTAGGTGGACGAGGAGGTGGTCAAAGGTAACACTAGGTAGGCGAGGAGGCCCACATCTACCAGGCCAGTTTATAAGCTCCTCAAGTAAGCCCCCACACCTCAAACGGCTCTGAGTGACTGTAACAGGGGGAAGGGTGAGAGTAGGCGGGGGGGGTATAATGTGGTTGGTAGGTAGATGGGGAAGAGGAGGGAGTAGGGGGTGGGAGGGGGGGTAATTGTAAGGATGGGATAGGATGGGGAGGATTCTAGCTCAGGGGCTTTTGGGAAAGGATGTGGGTTGGGGGGCTGTTGCTTCTTCATGTAGTGGCTGTCTGACAGTCTTAAGTTCACGCCAAACAAGCTAAGGTGTTAGAGGTATTTGTGTGTACGTGTGTGTGTGTGTGTGTGTGTGTGTGTGTGTGTGTGTGTGTGTGTGTGTGTGTGTGTGTGTGTGTGTGTGTGTGTGAACGCGTCCATGTGTGGGATTAAGTTATTGCATTTACACCTGTGTGTTCTATCGCTTTTATAAAAAAAACTGGTGTGTGGGCGCGTGGCTGCTGGAGCCTGACAAAAGGTCCATGAAATTATATATGCATGAATTTCCTTTCACTTTGTTGACTATGTGGAGGCCTGTTCTCTCACCACCACCAATTTACCGCAATATTTACCTGTTTTGTAGTTACCAGAAGGTGGCTTAGAGACCAGTGGGTAAAGAACAATTAGAATTAAAATAAAAAAGCAATTGTCCCCAGTAACATATGATTAGGGATGAAGGGATATTGGCTGGGATGTCAGTGGGTCAAACTGATGGTAAGAGAACCAAGGGAAAAGAGATTGGGATAAATGAATGCAATTAAAAGTTGAATGTTTATATGGACATGAAATCTAATAGGGCAATTGAAGTGGTGGGTCGCGGTCGCCAACCCTCAGACCGTGGGGATGGTATATTTTAATAATTTGAGGAATGTTATGGAAAATGACTTAAATTTTGATGTAATTTCAACCTTCTGATAAAAACAAAATATTTACTCATTTGATATTTTTTGTATTGTATATTAAGGATTCATGTTGTGTAAGTCTGATGATAAATAATAAAATTTGGGGTTTATTTTCTGACCATGAACTTCACTGCACTGGGGACTATGAGCTGTGAACAGGTCTCTCTTTTAACCCCTTGAGTACGATGACATAACCTCTTGAGCATGACAATCCCCTCGTAGGCTGGGTCTCCTCCTGTCCGTGTCCTCCTGGGAAGGGTCTCCTCCTGGGCTGGATCTTCCCCTCAGTGTTATCCTGATAGTGTCCTCCTAGGCTGGATCTTCTGATAGTGTCCTCCTAGGCTGGGTCTCCTCCTGATAGTGTCCTCCTAGGCTGGGTCTCCTCCTGATAGTGTCCTCCTAGGCTAGGTCTCCTCCTGATAGTGTCCTCCTCCACAGGGGAGAGCGGCGAGAACTGGAGAGCCGACTGAAGGAGGCGACAGACAAGCGGGAGTTGATGGAGCGGCTGATTGAAGATAAGGAGGAGGAATTCGAGGCTAGACTTAGGGCCAAGGTGGTTGAATGGAAGTCCGAGTGGGACTCCGTCGAGGGAGGACTCAAGGACGAGATCAGGAAATTCAAAAACGAGGTAAGAGTATGTTGTTGTTGTTGTGTTTCTTCACTTAGGTTAGGTCAGGTTAGGCTGGGTTAGGTTTGGTTAGGTTATGTTTGGCAGATATCAGTCAGGTGTAGTGTCCAGAAAGAAAAAAAATACTCAGGGTAAAGAAATAACCTGCCTTTGTGTTTCAGAGGACCAACAGCTGGGACTAAGTGGTCATCTTTAGGCTTTAAAGGTCACGTGTCAAATAAGTAAAAGATAGAGAGCTAACTTGACCATTCATCTCTGGTCCTTGATGTTGTACGTACAGTGTATGTTATCAGTAGGAAAAATACACACACACACATACACACATATCATGGTCGGCACTGCACTTGACCGCCACCACTTCCCCAACTGTAAACTTAGATCCTCATTTACAGCTCGGTGTAATGTACAGTAGGTGCCCTGGGATCGAACCACCGGCCTCATAGCACAGGAGCCGAGCACTGTACCCACTCGACAGCCGCAGCTCTTTTGCTCTAGAGTAACGATATATATAATCCTCTGTTACGAGACTGACACTAGAATTTGTTAGCAGTTCGTTCGCAGTTCGTTAGCAGTTTATTTTTTTATACGATCTGGGTGTGAGGTAACGAGCCCGGAGCGAGTGGGGAAGGAGGTATTGGGAGAAAGGAAGACTAGGCGGCGGTGAAAAAGGGAAATAAGATACAGTTGAAGACACAAGAAGAGAATGGTGGCAGAGACGAGGCTAAATGGGAGTGTCGTGACGGAAGGAGAAAACCAGAATGAAATAGTGTGTGTGTCCGTGTGTGTCCGTGTGTGTGTCCGTGTGTTCGTTCTACCACGTCCTGTACGGTCTCGGGACGCCCCATAACCGCGTCCTCCTTACACCAAAGGCTATTGTCTTATTCTTTGGCTCATTAACTTATTACATCTCTATCCAAACACATAAAGGTGTTGACACTCTCTTGTGTTTTGGGGATATTTTCTCAGTTATTCTTCTTCGTAAACATTGGTTACATAGCCGAGCTCTTCTGTCGATTCAACTTGCCACTTTTGGTCTTTTGAGAGAGATAGAGAGAGCCAGAGAGAGAGAGAGAGTTAAAGAGAGAGAGATTGAGAGCTAAGAGAGAGAGCCAGAGGCAGAGCTAAGAAAGAGCCAGAGAGAGAGAAAGAGAGCTAAGAGAGAGCCAGATACAGAGAAAGAGAGCTAAGAGAGAGCCAGAGAGAGAAAGAGAGAGCCAGATACAGAGAAAGCGAGCTAAGAGAGAGCCAGAGAGAGAAAGAGAGCTAAGAGAGAGCCAGAGAGAGAGAGAAAGAGAGCTAAGAGAGAGAGAAAGAGAGCTAAGAGAGAGAGAGAGAGAGAGAGAGAGAGAGAGAGAGAGAGAGAGAGAGAGAGAGAGAAAACCAGGACGAGAGATAGACAGCGAGAGGGCGAAAGAGAGAAAAAAGAGCGCGAAAGAAAGAACACCAAACTCAAGGGATCGTTTGTACATTTTGCTGCAGGTTTTCCCCTCATTCAATTCTCGTATATAACCTCCAGCAGGGCTAGACGTCAGGTAAAAAGGTAATTAATCAGGGCCGCCTCGTCCCCCCGGTGTTTCCATCATTTCTCTACACAATTTTTTTTTTATCCAGGAATTTTTTTTTTTACTGCGTTAGTCGTCCCTACCCCTGTCACCCCTTGCCCTGTCACCCCTTCCCTCCCCTGCCACCCTCCCCTGTCACCCCTTCCCTCCCCTGCCACCATCTCCTGTCACCTCCTCCTTTCCCTATTCCATCTTCCCTGCCGTCCACTCATCATTATGTTCTATTTATTGACTATGCTTCTCACTTAAGTAGGAATAGAGATGATTAGATGTTATTCGTTCTTGTTCTCTTAAGTGTTGAACATTGTGAACACTACTGAACGTTATTGTAATTTTATGAAGCGTGGGGGGAGGGGGGGTGGCATAAATTTAAGACACTACAAGACGATTAATTACAGTATTGAGTTGATGTCAATAAAACTATGAAACTAGACTGGATTTCAACTGAGTTAACTAAACCATTGGGGGAGGTTAAGAGGAGGAATGGATGAACAACACAAGTTATTGAGCTTAATGCATTAAAGTTTGATCTAGAATAGTTTGTTATTGTTTAGGTTTGTTCACCTGTCTAGAGGAATTATTTAGAGAGTTTGATGAAGATAACATAATACTTGCTTTAACGTAGTAGTGCCTGCAATGGTTGGACTGCAAATGTAAAGTTATATTATTTACAACAGTGGCATTGGATTATTGACCTGCATGGTGAGTTGAGACGTTTTTTGAAATGTTTTATAAGTTCCTCCATAGAAGAAAGATCACTAGAAATGAAATAACACGAAGAGAAATAGTAAAATCCCGAAAGCTAAAGAAAATCCCAAGGGTCGAGCTGTGAAAACTTCTTAAAGTCTGTCTTAGGAATTAGTGAGGCGGAGCTGGATTGGTTGGAGGAAGGATGTGAAGAAGTGTGTTAAGACAATACCGCCCAGTAAAACATTATCACAGGGGTACAGACGGTAAGCTGGCCAGACCTTGGGGATAAAATATTTGTTTTCTGGAGTTGAAGGCTCTCTCTCTCTCTCTCTCTCTCTCTCTCTCTCTCTCTCTCTCTCTCTCTCTCTCTCTCTCTCTCTCTCTCTCTCTCTCTCTCTCTCTCTCTCTTTGTATATGTGTCTGTCTGTCTCTCGTTACTTCATCTATAGACTTGAGGTAGAAATCCGGTCAGACAGTTTTCCACAAGCCCACGAGAGCCGCCATACTAAATTATTAATCCTAAAAAATTCAATTAGAGTAACTCGCCCTTGTTAACGGTCTGATGTGAGGCATTGTTGAGTCGTTAATGGAAATGGTTGACACAATTCGGAATCACTCCAAGAAAACGACATGTTGTTTGTTTACTTTTGAAAGATAAACACGTCCTAAGCCCCCCACCTTTTGACGTGCTGAGATTCTGCTACAAGAATATCAAGTGGCTCGACACACCAAACACCCCGATACTCTCAAGCTGAAAAACAACCCCGCCTTTACCCAGCACTGTGGCGTCATATACAAGCCTCGTATTGCTTGGCTCAGGATAATGTTTGGGTCTGTCCGGGGCCATTAGGTAGAGTTCCTGCCAAGTGAGGTGGACCAACACTTACTATTCCCCGTTGAAGGTTACTGTGTGTTGCCCTGTGTGTTTACTACTACTACTACTACTACTACTACTACTACTACTAATACTAATAATAATAAAAATAATAACCTCGTAAGTTAGTTCGTATTAGTAGTGTGTTATATAGAACTATACCACCAGGCTGTTACTGCTGTACATCACGAGTGCTAGAGAGAGCTCCACCATCGCATCGCCTTACTGTTATACTCTCCTCTTCAACATAGAAATTTTTTTATTAATATTCTTCGCCATGTTGAAGTATTGTTCTCGACAAGTATTGTGTGTTGTGAAAAATATACACGACTCATTTGCATATATTCTGTTATTCAATACATATTTGAAATGATATTTTTTTACGATTGAGACGATTTTTAGTTGAGTCCCTGGTGGTGTAAATCTCAAGGCGTGGAATGGAGTTATGCTCGGATTTACAGAAGGAGGGAGGGAGAGAGGGAAGGAGGTAGGGAGGTAGGGAGGGAAATAGGGAGGGTCTCTCACCTAGGACTGACCTGGGCCTTGATTGGCTATACCAGTCCTGATGAGGGCAATGTGTTGTAATATTTTAAAGGGATGGTTTACTAGAATGTCCCTGCTAGGAGACTTTACATTGAAGGGGATAATGTCTTCATGTGAAACCATCTACTCATTTATTATTTTAGTTTAAAGGCGCCACTAGTTAAGAGGCGCCATTATATGTGTTGAACTGCCCTCTTTCATGTCTTTCCTTCATGCGCCAGAAAGGTTGGGGTTACAGAGGGACCAATACACACACGTTACCCCTTGATTCTTGGTATTAGATCGTCTTAATATTGTATACAGGATGATGTGTTGTGATTCACCCCTTACCAGCATCATCAGTCAACAGGATCTCTTTACCCAATTTACTTTGTGTATAGAGTGAAACCTCCATATAACGGATATCCCTCTCTATTTAACGGATTTCTCTCTCCCTATATCGGACTTCCCTCTCCATATAACGGACTTTCTTCATATAGTCCGTTATTTAGAGGTTTCACTGGATACACTTTCCAAAGAGACGTTGAAACAGTTTCTTTTCTAATATCTCTCAGAAAAATAAATTACATCATTTGATTTATTATATATTGATAATTTCGTGACCTGTTGAGAGGGAAGACGAGGTGACGTGTATTGACTGTGTGTTGGTTACTCGTATGTCAGTGCAGGTCGAACAGAGGATGAACCCGGCGCTGCACATGTGTCTCTACCATGACTGAGTGCCTCATATTTCCCTGTTCACTTACACATACAGGGAAGACTGGCTGTCTTGGGGGAAGACTGGCTGTCTTGGGGGAAGACTGGCTGTCTTGGGGGCAGAATGACTGTCTTGGGGGAAGTCTGGCTTCCTAGGGGAAGAATGGCTGCCTGTAGAGACTTGCATAGATACTGTTAGTGTACTCTGTTAACCTGAGAGTCTTCCTTTACAGAACGATTGCCTGAAGAGTGACGTTGCGGTGTTCAAAAGCCGCTTGGATCGTTCGGGTATCGAGTACGAGATGAGGATCCAGGAGTTGGAGGAAGAACTTCAGAACAAGAACAACGAACACGACAACAAGACTCGCAGCCTCAAGATTAGACTCTCCACCATTGAATCCGTCAACAAGCAGCAGGGACAGGAGAAGAACGAGGCTGAGAGAAAAATGAGAGAAGAGAAGGAGAAGTTCAAACAGCTGGTGAGAGACTTCGAGTTAATACAGAAAGTGAAGGGCGAGTTGGAACAGAGGATGAAGCAGTTAACAGACTCAGAACGGCAACTGCAGGAGAGAACGTTAACGCTGAGTATGGAGAACGACGAGGTGAAGGGAGAGTTGGAGGAAGCCAAGAACAAGTTACGAGCTAAGGAGAAGGAGTGGTTGACCAAGGTGGAGACGGAGAGCAAGACGACGGAGGCCAGGACGAAGCAACGGATAGAGAAGACCTGGCTGGAGAAACTCAGGAGAACCGAGGAGAACTCAGCCCAGGATGTGAGTATTTTGGAGACATATGTAACCTGTCTTTCTTCTCTTTCTGTCTGTCTCTGTCTGTCTCTGTCTGTCTGTCTCAATAGAAAAGTTGGTTTCTTGTGATAATTGTGGAAGTATCGCTGGTACAGTTGTCTTGTGTTGAGGATGGACTGTTGATTTTCGGGGCGAGGTATGAGAATTCAAGGTACCAGAGGTCAAGGTATGAGAGGTCAAATTATGAGACCTGGAATAAGTCAGGTTAATGATGAAGTGTATGACTTTAGGTTGAGTTTTGATAGGGAAGGCTGTGGGGGACTGTCACCCACGTATAACACCGAGAGAGGGACGATGTTTTGTCTGTAGTGAATAGCTGGCAGGTGCAGGAGGGGGAGAGACAGGAGCGTCTGCAAAAAACAAAGAGTTTTATAAACATGTTTGGCAGAACTTGTGAGCCTCCCGAGAGAGACCGTCAGTTACAGCTGGTGCATCAACACTGAAATGTGAAGGACGAGCAATCAGAATGTTGACGAAAAAAGCACATCAAACATTGTTAGGTCTGAGAGATACGAGTATTTTAGTTTCTTTAAATGCTGTATGTCACAAGATTTGTTCAACCTGGGTACAATCCCCAAAAGCTCGGAATTGAGAATGGATGTGAAATTTACGAGGTCTGGAGGGACAGTATAAAACACTTTTGAAGTTTGCTGTTATCCTGGCAGGCAGACCAAACTTTATCGAAAACTTGAGTTATATCTGGAACAAGAGGAAAAGATTTGGCGAGATCACCGAGAGTACAGCCTGAGTTTTGGGCGACGAGCTGTAGGAAATCTGCAGAGGACCTCGCAAGACGGTATCCCAAATCCCTCGAGTTATTCTCTTCCATTAAGGCGAAATTAAGGCGAAAAGATGTTTGTGTCTTGTAACTGACTGAGCGGGAAGGTTGTATACGCCTGTACTGAAGTTGGGAAAGGAATCTCTTGATATATCACAGTTCTCATATGTTATTCTTCATCTCCCTTTCAATGATAACAAAAACAGTGGTGGTGGTGGTTGTTGTTGTTGTCAGTTGTTGTTGTGGTTCTTGTGGCGCCTGGGACTGGAACACCATATTACCGCTCCCTCCTCTCCTGCACTACACTGAAAGATGTATTTTTCTTCTTTATTTATTGACCTGGCATACATTATTTAGTCTAGTATACACGCTTTAATACCTTAGTTGTTTAAAGCACAAAAAACACATATCATAATTCCTCAGTTGGTGGTAGTGTCGCCAGCCTGCTACCCCACGGCTCTTATCTCTACCACTCCACTCGGCTGATGGGGTTGTGCCGAGTTCTCTATGTCAGGAGTGTGTTAACTTGGTCTTCCGTCTGTCAGCGCGATAGTCAGTTCCTGTTGGACGTGTATGTTAGGGATTCTGGCGTCCGTGTGTTCGTATTGACCGTCCTTGAACAGTTACGTCCGTTTCTCTCCCTGGTGTACTTATATTAATGTGATTCAGGAGGTTCTATCTCTCTTTCCGAGGCGCGGGGAAGGGGGGGGTGAGCTAGAGGGACTGGTGACCAATTGATCTAAATTTAATTAGCGATAACAACCAACTACCTTTCGTTGTCTTGGTCTTGGCTCTATTCCCGGCCAGCCACCGTCAACACCCGTAATTCCTTGTTGAGTTTGTTATCGTCGGTAACATTGATTTAACTTCTAACTCCACTACTACACATTTCCCCCGCGACACATTATTGTTATACTGTACTTGTGTCCGTTACGGCAGCGGGAGTTTATATATTTTAGGGACGACGCTGACCAGCAGACCATAGGTAAGAGAAGAACTCGCTGTGGAAGAAAAAAAGGGAGACATTTTAAGTAGTTTTTCCTCGTAGGACAAAAAATTACGGATGTGAAATTTTGTTTATTAAAGGCACTAAATCTTAAATACTGCCTGTATATTAAATTTATTTGGTTAATCAGGATTCAAGAGTCAAATGGATAAAATCACACTTTTTATTGTTTGGATATATCGGGTGTGTGACATTAAATATATATTGGAGAGGGAGAATTATGACAACATATGTAGGTGTAGGCGTTCGGTGTGTCAAGGGCGGGTCCAGGGGGTAGGGTGCTGGGGCTGCTTACCGGGTCCATTACGAGGGACAACTTGGGGAGCCAGATCCGACGCTGGCCGGAGGGAGTTACGTCACCAGTGTTGGACGACAGGGGGGAGGGCATGGCTCACAGAAGAGTTACCAGCTTGAGATGAGCCACGAGAGGGGGTGAGTGAGGTGGGTGACAAGGGTCGACATAGTTTGGTAATGGCGGTAAGGAGGAACTCTGTGTATAGCTGTGCAAACCGACGACTCTTCCCCCTCCATGTGTCACGCGACTTACTACCTCGCCGTCACCTCGCCACGCCGCCGTCACCTCGTCACGCCGCCGTCACCTAACCCCCGTCACCTAACAACCTCGCCACACCACCACCTCGCCGTCACCTCGCCACGCCGCCGTCACCTCGCCACGCCGCCGTCACCTCGTCACGCCGCCGTCACCTAACCCCCGTCACCTAACAACCTCGCCACACCACCACCTCGCCGTCACCTCGCCACAGTGTCGGGGAAGTAATCATCATCACTTTATGCCATCCATCAACCTCTCGTAGTTGACGCTCGCCAGGCTGTGTGTGGGGGGAGGGTGAGCCAAGGGATTATATTATTGCAGCTGTGTAATTTGGCTGAAGGTTTGCATGGATTAATCTGTCAAATGTCAAATCTCTATTGACGTTTGATTAATGGTCGAGGGGAAACAGTATAGTAATTAAGAAGCTCCTGTGGTGACGTCAGAGTATTTATATTATTTTACCAAATATTTTAAGTTGTCTTGTGAAAAGTGAATTATATTTTTTGTACAGATGAAGTACATGAGTGACCCTTTAGTGTACTGGTGTGATGGTGAGTGTACAGGTGTGTGAGGGGTGGGTGTACAGGTGTGTGAGAGGTGAGTGTACAGGTGTGTGAGGGGTGAGTGTACAGGTGTGTGAGGGGTGAGTGTACAGGTGTGTGAGGGGTGAGTGTACAGGTGTGTGGGGTGGGTGTACAGGTGTGTGAGAGGTGAGTGTACAGGTGTGTGGGGGTGAGTGTGGGTGTGTGGGGTGGGTGTACAGGTGTGTGAGGGGTGAGTGTACAGTGTGTGTGAAGGGTGGGTGTACAGGTGTGTGAGGGTGGGTGTGGGTGTGTGTGGGGTGAGTGTACAGGTGTGTGTGGTGTGTGTGAGGGTGAGTGTGCAGGTGTGTGGGGTGAGTGTACAGGTGTGTGGGGGTGAGTGTACAGGTGTGTGAGGGGTGGGTGTACAGGTGTGTGGGGTGGAGTGTACAGGTGTGTGTGGGGTGAGTGTACAGGTGTGTGAGGGGTGAGTGTACAGGTGTGTGAGGGGTGGGTGTACAGGTGTGTGAGGGGTGAGTGTACAGGTGTGTGAGGGGTGAGTGTACAGGTGTGTGAGGGGTGAGTGTACAGGTGTGTGAGGGGTGGGTGTACAGTAGGACGCAACAAGCACCTCGGATCGTTTCCCAGGAATAACAAGGACAAGATTAATGATCACTCCTTCACAAGTTTTTGACAGAGATGAATGAAAGTTTTCCAACACGAGGCAATGGAAATTGGCAACACTGTCTTAAAACCTTTCATAAAAATAATACTTCACTCTTTCTGATGAGGTCATAATAGGAATTAATTGGTAGATAGGTGCTGTGCTGTTTTATTAGTGTGTGTGTGTGTGTGTGTGTGTGTGTGTGTGTGTGTGTGTGTGTGTGTGTGTGCGTGTGTGTGTGTGTGTGTGTGTGTGTGTGTGTGTGTGTGTGTGTGTGTGAAAAGAAGACGACGTCGTTTATTGTGTGTCTGGGTCTAATTATATCTGTTTTCCTCTTCCTGTATAGATGGAGAGGCTGAAGGAAGCCCACAGGAGGAGTGAGGGTGACCTGAGGAAGGAACTGGCCCTGTCCAAGCGAACCGAGGAGGAGGCCAAGCGACTCAACGAAGAATTTAAGAAGAAGGTGAGTCCAGAATCAGAATGTTGTTTTTATTTGTTTATTTTATTCTCAACGAAATATTTTGTACTTGGGAAGAAAATAAGATCACAGTATCACAACCTAACCTAACCTAACCTAACCTCACCTAACCTAACCTAACCTAACCTAACCTAACCTAACCTCACCTAACCTAACCTAACCTCACCTCACCTCACCTCACCTAACCTAACCTAACCTAACCTAACCTCACCTCACCTAACCTAACCTAACCTAATCTAACCTAACTACGAACATTAAAGATCTCACGGTAAAATTCATCCTGGCATTTGAAATAACTAGACAAGTTAGCAAAAAAAAAATATATATAAAATCAACTTTACTGAACTTAGGTTAGTTTGAGAGCGAGAGAGAGAGAGAGAGAGAGAGAGAGAGAGAGAGAGAGAGAGAGAATTATTTGTATATGTACTTTATTATTCATCAGAAAAGAGCGGAGTTGTGTAGTATGTATCATTTATTCATCCACAATACATAGACTTTTTTGTTTTGTGGTAACGATCATCACTACAACTTTCACATGAATGTTTTAAGAGTAAATTATGGTAATCTGGCTGTTGGATAAAATATTTGGGAAATTTTTGGGTTTCGATAGTTAAAAGCGTCAGCTGGATTTAACAGGGCTTGTATTTTATTTTATGTGAATATATTATACGTTTGGGATCTCTCTCTCTCTCTCTCTCTCTCTGTATGCTTGTCTGTCTGTCTGTCTGTCTGTCTGTCTGTCTGTGTCTTATGCATTTCCACAATTTTAAGATAGATGATAATATGGTAGGGAGGTGCGTGTGGCGTAGTGGTTATTCTATCTCCAGGTTTAAATATGTTCGTCTTAGTGATAGAGAGAGATGCTTGAGTAGAGTTTTGTTGTGCAGAAAAAAAAGACAATTTGGTGGGGAGTTTTACAAAATATTCCTCTAAGTCAACACACTCTTTCTGTATCAATACTTTAGAATATTACCCACACTTTATATATTATGAAGAGTAATACTAAAAAAAATAATGAAAACAATTTAAACTTTTTTACGGGAGGATTGCGCTTCTTCCCTTCCACCTCAGTTATGTTAGAATAGCGGAGTGTTTCTTGTTAAGTACACCACGTGTGTAGCCTACAGCAGCTTTGGTATAATGGTGCTAAAGTGGTTCTTATATCAGGGTTGTGCAGTGTTCGTGGCTGGGGGCCAGGAGTAACATTCTAGACTAACACAAGCAGGTGTTTGGTGCCCTTGTGTGTATTCGGTGACCGCGAGTGACGTGGGTAGTATGTTTTGTGTCTCAAGGCTGTAGGTTCCTCCCTCCATCCACCCCCCAAACCCCCACTCCCACCCCAAACCCCCACTTACCCACCCACTCACCCACCCATGCTAGGCCTCCACCCACTCCACCTTCACACGTCTTTCACTGCTGGGTGGTGAGCTTCGGGGGCCTTCCTCACCTTCAGGTAATCATGATGAACGTCTTCAGCAGAATAAGCCGAGCCTTCCCTGACCTTCTCGACAACAGTTAATAGTTCTGGTGGTGTTGGGGAAGGTGGTCCCGCGTCTCAGTAAAGAATGTTTAAAAGGTCGATATTGTTGGGGGGAGTTGATGAGGCTGATTAACTGTTGGCTCGTAGATACTTATGAATATTAATATGTTGGCAAGAAGGCTTATTAACCGATGCTACAGATAATTTTTTTTTTTATACTTTACTCAAGGTTCGTGTGTTTGTTCAGCTTCAAATTTAGTTTTTACTTTCACTGTATTAGAGAAATGTCACTCTACTCAGTCAGGTATATATCAGGTGCCACTAAGAGAGCTCAGGCTCTCAATTGGCTCAGCCATATCAATATTGTTTGCTAGTTATCCACTCTGTATACGTATTCGTCTGGCTAAATAAACTGTTTTAATATCAAAAGAAAACTACCTTAAACTGATGCTTTTAAAAGATTTCCATTTGGTGAAATTCGATTAAATTTTACATTCAAAAGTTGAGAATGTTTACTCCGCCATCTTGCCCAAATAACAGCGTCGTGTCGGGCCAGTTATAAAAAGCCAGTAGTGAACCATGTCTGATAACAGCGAGGGCGGCCACTGATCACTGTCAAACTTTGGTCCTTTCTTGTCAAGATCAAAGTTAAGCGAAGGTTTTCATCCTCAAGAGAGTGAGTAACCACGGAACAGTAGCGGTCTACTTGCCCCGAGGCCACTGGCAACTTTTACCATTAAAACTTCCCAGAAAGTCATTAGTTTAAGTTTCTCTAATTAACCCTTTCGGTGTACAATTACGGACAATTACGGTTCAATGTCTGGGCTCCCCAAAACACCTCCAAAAAAGTTTATAAAATCCTTTAATGATAATGTTTTAACATAGAATTAATAAACAAAACAGAAACCAGTGATTTATCCAGGAGGACGCCGGAAACAACGATGTAAACTTCGTATTATTGTTAACTGGTTGATGCAGTTGTGGTAAGTGAGTATCACGATGGAAAATTAATAATAATAATAAAAAAAAATCTTAGAAATAAAATATTTTGCATACATTTATATACATAATTTCTTGTGGTTAGTGACGAGGTGGTGGTATGATGACCTTGTGGTATGGTGAGGTGGTGTAGTGATTTAGTGGTGTGGTGATCTGGTTGTGTGGTGAGGTAATAGTGTGGTAACTAAGGCCTCTGAATAGCTGGCCAAGGTATCATTTACACCCGGGGACATAACGTAAACATAGGATTTAAGTTCTTGACTCTTAAGACAGTTTGTTCACTGATGTACTTGTCTTCAATCCTAGTTCAGACTACCAACAGGGTTAAAATAGCCAACTAGCCATCTATCAAAAAAATACAACCTGAAGTATAGTTTTTAAATTCAAATTGTCATATTAGGATAAAATTTCTCCCTATAAAAAATATTAACATGTTAAATTGATATATTAAGTATATATTTAGGTATAATTATAAAATCGTAATGTTTACAGGTAGGGGTTGATAATAATGAGTCAAGGTAACATATATAAAACACAGGTGATCACATATAAAGTAAGACTCAAGTGGTGTGTGTGTGTGTCTGTGTTTGATAGGTCCGGACGCTGCGGCAATCAGAGACAGATGCAGCCCACAAGATCAGTGAACTGGAGGATAAGGTGGAGAGTATGAAGAGGCGAGAGAACTGCAACGCCAACCAGTGAGTACAGTACTTTTGTCTAGCTCTTCCCGTCTGTGGTTCTGGCTCTTCTACCTTATATACAATTCCCCTTTTTATTGTATTATTGGTGTATTTTCCTTTTATGATGCAGTATTATGTATGATTATACTTCACTGTGGACTGTGGCTTGTATGGACACGTGGACACTTTCAAGGTAGGTGTGAGTAACAGCAGTGTGAGTAACAGGAGTGTGAGTAACAGGAGTGTGAGTAACAGGAGTGTGAGTAACAGGAGTGTGAGTAACAGGAATGTGAGTGACAGGAGTGTGAGTAACAGGAGTGTGAGTAACAGGAGTGTGAGTAACAGGAGTGTGAGTAACAGGAGTGTGGGTAAGTGTTATATTTATGTTGATCTGATCCACTTGGCGCCGGTCGTCCAAAAATAATATTCTTGTTCACAGTTCCTATATCTTGTCTCAGGTCACCACCCGATACATCAGGGGTTTTGGGTTCATCCTCCTGTCCCGTCTGGTTGTTAGTGCTGTCCGTGAATTCCCAAGCGTTGTCTTTTATCTAATGAATCAATTGATATAATACAGTTGCCGTAGATTCATTGAACTGCTCCTCAGATGTGATTTGCATAAAGTTAAGGTCCAGTGATTTTCAACGTTTTCCTTCCCTCTGATTGGTGGAGAAGTTAACCAATCATTATCTTAGGAAATCGATAGCTAGACTGTCTTTATAATGTAGCCATAGACTCGCATCTGATTTTCTTTGGGTAAAAAAACACAAATATTTTCGACGATGTTCCCAAATATTTTTCTCATAGACTTCAATAGGATGTCGTTTTTATTGACGGCCTTTAATAAACTAAACTCTCTCCACTAAGGCGCTTTACATTACTAAACGACAGCCGCTTCTGGAGACGGCTGTGGATGAGGGTCGGGAGTCAGCAGTTGAGGAGTGGTAACTGGGATAAAGATAGTGAGTGGGTCAGCGGAGAAAGTGTAGGTGGGATAAAAGAGAAAAGAAAATGGGAAGAAAGTTTAAAGATCAGAGACGTAACAGATGGTAGACCCTTAAAACTATCTGTGTTTTATAGTCTTGACGCCATGAGTGTACTTCCTAACTTGAACCTCATGAGTGTACTTCCTAACTTGACCCCCATGAGTGTACTTTCTAACTTGACCCCATGAGTGTACTTCCTAATTTGACCCCATGAGTGTACTTCCTAACTTGAACCTCATGAGTGTACTTCCTAACTTGACCCCCATGAGTGTACTGTCTAACTTGACCCCATGAGTGTACTGTCTAACTTGACCCCATGAGTGTACTTCCTAACTTGACCCCCATGAGTGTACTGTCTAACTTGACCCCATGAGTGTACTTCCTAACTTGACCCCATGAGTGTACTCTCTAACCCCCATGAGTGTACTTTGACCCTCATGAGTGTGCACTTCCTAACTTGACCTCCATGAGTGTACTTCCTAACTTGGCCCCATGAGTGTACTTCCTAACTTGACCCCCATGAGAGTACTTCCTAACTTGACCCCATGAGTGTACTTCCTAACTTGACCTCCATGAGTGTACTTCCTAACTTGAACCCCATGAGTATACTGTCTAACTTGACCCCATGAGTGTACTTCCTAACTTGACCCTACGAGTGTACTTCCTAACACCGAGGAACACCGCTAACACATCGTGCGGTTCTACTAGTTCAGGTACAGTATTGTGTGTAGTAACAGCAGAACGAGTAACCCCATCCAGGCAAGACCTTAATCCCATTGACGGAGAGTCCCTGCACTTTAATCTTGTTATGTAGATATGATTTGGAAATTAACTTGGACTCGATTCTAACATTTCACCAGAGTGGTAGAAACATGTACGCTATTCACTCTGATTAAGGTATTGAAATCTGAGTGCATAGTCAATCTCTTAATGTGATCAAATCCCTCTTCCTCGAATACCCCCACAGTCCCACCTACACATCTACACACCCCTACACACCCTCCACACACCCCTACACACATTCAACACACCCCCCCACACCTCTACCACACATACCCCTACACACCCTTCACACACCCCCACACTCCCCCAACCAACCCCCTCCCACACACACCAAGTATTTTGTTTTGAAGTTTTGCGAGTATTATGTTTGGTGTAAAGCCTTGACCTGTTACCTTCACACTTCCATGACAGGTTCCTGAAAATCATTCATGGAGGTACAAGTTCACGAAACGTTTGGACGATTTTGTACTTCAATAACTCAGATGTTAGTGTTGGTGTTTTGGGGTTAATTTAAGGTTAAAGTTCTGGTAATTAAAGAAGAGGAGAAGAGTGTAGGTGGTGGAGAAGAGTGTAGGGTGTGGAGAAGAGTGTAGGTGGTGGAGAAGAGTGTAGGTGGTGGAGAAGAGTGTAGGTGGTGGAGAAGAGTGTAGGTGGTGGAGAGGAGAGAGAGAATGTAGGCAGTGGAGAAGAGTATGGAGTGTGGTGGGAGAAAGAGTGTAGGAGTGTGGAGAAGAGTGTGGGTGGTGGAGAAGAGTGTGGGTGGTGGAGAAGAGTGTGGGTGGTGGAGAGTGTGTGGGTGGTGGAAAGAATGTGGGCAGTGGAGAGGGTGGAGTGGTGGAAAAGAGTGTGGGTGGTGGAGAGAGTGTGGGTGGTGGGGGGGTGGTGGAGAAGAGATGTGGGGTGGTGGAGAGAGAGTGTGGGTGGTGGAGAGAGGTGGGTGGTGGAAAGAGTGTGGGTGGTGGAGAGGTGTGGGTGGTGGGGAGAGTGTGGGGTGGTGGAAGGTGTGGGTGGTGGAGAGGTGTGAGCAGTGGAGAGAGAAGAGCGTGGGCGCTGGAGAGTGTTAGTGGTAGAGAGAGAGAGGAAGGTGTGAGTGGTGGAGAAAGTGTAGGTGGAGAAGAAGAGTGTAGGGGTTGGGAGAAGAGTGTGAGGGGATGGAAAGGTGAGTGGTGGAGAAGAGTGTAGGTGGTGGAAAAGAGTGTAGGTGGTGGAGAATAGTGTAGGTGGTGGAGAAGAGTGTAGGTGGTGGAAAAGAGTGTAGGTGGTGGAGAATAGTGTAGGTGGTGGAGAAGAGTGTAGGGGTTGGAGAAGAGTGTAGGTGGTGGTGAAGAGTGTAGGTGGTGGAGAAGAGTGTAGGTGGGATGAGGTGTTACTAAAGGTGGTCTACACACTATGGTAAGTTTGGTCGGAGGTGTGAACATTGGAGGTAAATAGACAAGAATAATTTTTTAGGGGGCCTGGAGCTGAGGCGAGTCGCAGTATTAAGTTTGTGTTGCAATTCTTATCATAGTTTCATCAGTGTAAATATTCAGGGAAGAGAGCTGCTGGTAGTGTGATGCTGAGTAAGTACATGCCTGGTGAAGGTGAAGAACACGTGGGATGGGTGTAGCTGTTCCTCAACCCAGGGAGGCGGGTAGAGACATGGATACTGTCAGGTGAGGCAGGCGTGGCCACACTCAGGGGAAAAATAGTGTTAAGTATCTTGATGTTGTGGCCAGGTGTTAAAAAGCAAGTAAAAGCTTACCCAGGTGATGGCCTCGGTGGCAGGTGTTGGTAATAACTGCGACGTTCTTACTTGCGTCTGAGAGCCATCATGAACCTGATACCGTAAAATATGGAGAATTTCATTATTTTCCTTAAAGATAATAAATGATTTTGTCGTGGGCCCTCACCGACAACCTTGATTCAGCGTGAACCAGGAATATGCAGAGATATAGCGTAGAGCAGAAGTTTACTACCGTCGTAAACACGTCACACACGCGGGGGTCAGTAGCGGGGTCTTGGCAACACTTTCCTACTAAATCGGATAATGTCGCCCCGACCTTGAGTTTACCAGGAAGATCTTCAACGCCTTCAGCCCTGGTTTATGGTGCTCGACACCCGCTTTATGATGCACGGCACCTGGTTTATGGTGCTCGACACCCGCTTTATGATGCACGACACCTGGTTTATGGTGCTCGACACCCGCTTTATGATGCACGGCACCTGGTTTATGGTGCTCGACACCCACTTTATGATGCACGGCACCTGGTTTATGGTGCTCGACACCCGCTTTATGATGCACGACACCTGGTTTATGGTGCTCGACACCCGCTTTATGATGCACGACACCTGGTTTATGGTGCTCGACACCCGCTTTATGATGCAACGACACCTGGTTTATGATGCTCGACACCCGCTTTATGATGCACGACACCTGGTTTATGATGCTCGACATCCACTTTATGATGCTTCGACATCCACTTTATGCTGCCTGACACCCGCCTTGGCGATGCTTCGACACCCGCCTTATGATGCTCGATGACACCCGCCTTATGATGCTCGACACCCGCCTTATGATGCTCGACACCCGTTTTATGATGCTCGACACTCCGCTTTATGAGCTCGACACTCCGCTGGTGATGTTCGACACCTGCTTTATGATGCCTCGACACTTTCGTACCGTCAGGTGCATGACCTTCCCCTCCGGTTAACTACAGGTGTTAGGTAATGGAGAGAATAAGACTGCCCTCCACCACACGATAACCCTCCCTCACACCTGTGTCCCTGAGTGGATGGTCGTGGAAGGCATCTTGGCTGTGAGGATGGCCAACCTTCTCCTCTTCTAACTGAACCTTATCTGTTGTAATCTGTCCTTGCCTAAGGTGAACTATCCTTACCGTCCTTCACCTTATCTATAGCCTACACTATCGTTATCTAAATTTATCCTTGCCTAACGTAACTCTAACTAACATGACTTATCCTTAACTAATATATCTTTACCTTATCCCATCCTTATTTGGCATAATATTTACATAAGTAACCTAACCTCACCTGACCTCACCTCACCTGACCTCACCTCACCTCACCTAAATAAATTCAAACGTAATTAAATCTAAAGAAAACTCAAACAAGATTTTCTCATTGTCTTGCCTGAGGAAATTATTAGAAATAATTTAACTAATTAGCACAGCGTTAGTGGCGTTCTCACCTGGAGTATTATAATATGTACACTAAAGTAGGGAAGCGTGCTGGCGGTGGGGTGCACAATAA